CCTGCTTTGGGACAGGGCTTCTGGGGCTTCCCCGGGCCGGCCTGGGAGCGGGGCCGGCGGCAGGAGTCACTCGTAGGGCCGGGAGGTAAGAGCTGGGGGGAAGGGGGCAGGAGTTGTGAGGGGAGAGGGTTGGGGAGCAGGGCCTGAGGCGATAGGGGGACGGGGGGGGAAGTTGTGGGGAGGCCTGGTGGGGGGATAACTCGGGATCCCCGGGCGGGGATAGAGCTTCGGGGGGTGCCAGGAACTGAGTGAGGAAACGCGAGTGGGAGAAGGGAAATGAGGGCTGGAGTGGAAAAACTGGGATGACTAACAGCATCACCAAGTAAGGGATGACAGGTCGAGGCTTCGGCACCGAGGGCTGAGGGACGCGCTTCTAAATCCGGAGGGAACTTGGGCTCCCTGTGGATGAGACCCCCCAGGGCGTCTGGGACCAGCGCTGGTGTTTCTCAGCGGTGTCTCAGGCCTGTCGTGGTGTTTAAAGGAAATGGTGCATCATCATGCAGTATGGAAAGGCAAAAGAGTGCCCTTTCTCCGTTAAATGTGTCACTAATTCGATTTGACAGAAGATTGTTAAATGTTCCTGGCGAGCACTATCTTGATTAGTGATAGATAGCATTATAAAGGTAAAATATTATTCCCGTAGTATGGGCAAAGCTGCCTGTGAAATGGAATTGTCGTTTTCTGACAGGATTTGCGAGGTGGGGGGGGAATACTGAATGTAATGTTTTTTGTTGTCGTTTTTTCTGTAACTCAACATTATTAGGTGTGTTTGAATTTGTGATTGTGGAGCATCGTTGTGACATAATGAAAAGGAGTCCTTTTTTGTGATTTCCTGGTTTTTTTTCCTTTGCCTTTAGAGCTCTAAGTTTACGTCCGGAGTGGCTTGATGTGAAGCCCTGTAAATGCAAAGAATTTCACTTTTATTTATGCTTTATAAAATGGAACTCATTGGTTATAAAAAACCCTGAATTACTTAAGTAAAGCATATAACTGGCTTCCTTCTTTTTCAGTGACAGTTCCTAATCAGATGCTCAGAATTATTTGGTTTCATTGTATCACTTGTTTCATTGTGACCTGAAGGAAAAAAAACAGATTTTTGTTATTTTTGTTTCCTTAATGCTACTTTGTCATGGGTGTATATCAAGATCAAGACAGCATGATAGCAGAAGTACATCACAAGCTGTCATCCTGTCACTGGATCAGTAGAGGACAGTAATACAAAACTGTACCTACCATAAGATCGTAGAAACTACTGTCAAATCTGATATCCTGACTTCCTGGAGTATAGTTACTGCTGTTATAAAACTGATGGTGTTTCCTCCCCCAAAACCTTTAGGATTTGCACATAGATACAGATGAGGGAGGGAATTAAAATGGAAGAGGTTTGGTTTGACACATGGGCTCAGCGAGAGATAGCATCGCTGGCTGCACACATCACAGTGGGGTGCTTAAAATACCCTGATTTCTTGTGTAATTGATCTTAAAATTTACTGTTGTTTTAACACAGAGAAAGTACCAGTACTGGCACTGGTATTAGGTTTGATCAGACCCAATAAATATTAAAAACAATTCTCTCAGCTTCCCCTGAGCCAGTTTGAGCAGTGTGGGGAAAGGTTTAGGGTTAATCTCTGAACTGCAGCTGAGGCTCTAGACAGACCTAGCGTTAGGCATGTACTGTGAGCAGAGTTTGATGCCCTGTGTGATTTTTCTAGATGCCAATCCAGTTTACAATAAGAGGGACTTACCAGCTTTATTCTTGGCACACCCTTCTGTTGAGCGTTTTACTCATGGGGCTTGCCATTCCACTACCTAGCTCGCTGTGGACCTGTAAATTTGAAATCATCTGCTTCCTTTCTTACTGGACATTATTGCTGCAAAATTGGGCCAGAAGCTGGCAAAGATACCTGTTTCTTGTATGATCAGGAGCTATTGCTGTATTATCAATTACATTCCTAGTCCCACGTTAGGAAATACTGGCTGGAATTTTGTAAAATTCCTTCTCTCCTCCCAGCTTTGGCTGGATTTTTCTGCACGATTGGGGTATTATGTAAGATCTTGCTGTATTCCTCCAGCCTCTGATGGCTGCTGTTTCCTACTCAGCGTGGAGAGGAAATACAACAAAAATGTGGTGGTTTTATTGTGTTGTTTTTTTAAAAAAAATCCAGCCTTTATTGAGAGTGTTGCTTCTTGATCCTCAAAATCGATCAGCTGCTGCTGCATTCTGTCTTGTACTTTGTACTTGAGAGACCTCTTAAATAAAGCATGTGTCCCAAGTTCTAGAAACACATGACGGTACAGGAAACTAGCGTGAGATTAAAGTATCTATACCCTTGAGGAGGCAAAGGAGCTGTTGTTTTTCAGAATCTGTATCTGTAAATAGAACTTCTTTTATTGGTTTCACGTTGTTAAGTGTCCCTTTACTGAACTCTTTAACAGAGTTGAGTGGTTCTGGAAGTCTCTTCCTCTTTGCTGATGTGCGTAGCTGAGAATTCAAGAAAATACATAGCACACATGAAATGTAATTTGTGGTTTGTTTTGTTCCCCCCTCCCCCTCCACATTTTTAGGACAGAAAAGATGCAGAGCCTCTGACTGTGTAGCGAATGCCCGGAACAGACTTGGGAGTTCATTTTTATACTGTGAGTAAATTCTTTGGCCACAGGAAGGGCTTGTGTTGCTGCATTCTGTGTGGTGTAGCTGGTCTCAAAACTGTGGATTTTTAGATATCTGTAGAGTTTATAAAATCAAGACCATGGGAGGGATTAAACACTCCAATACTAAATGCATGACTGAAGATACAGTTTTGGCCGCTGATGTAGTAGAAACCAGTCGGATACTTGTGACTTTAGATGTACTGACTATAGAAAATAGCATTTAAATTTTCATACCGAGATCTCAGCTCACATTTTCTTAACCTGTATTGTAGGTCTATTTCAATAAGTTATTTTATATGACTATGGACTTTAAAGATGGCTTTCATTAGAAATCCAGTGTGGCTGTTGTGCGTTTTAAATTGGGTCTGATGTAATGCTTGGGCTGTGAATCATATAATGTTAATGCTTTTAAAAAATTGATCCAACTTCTGATAACAGAAATCATTTTCCAGCAAAAAAGCGTGCCCTTGTGCACATCTTTAAGAGACTTGCACACAGAGAAAAAGTCAGAATATTAATTTGAAAACATGCTAAATTTTAAGCATTTAAAATATTTAGGAATGCAGAAGTTCAGTAGTGCTGTTTCTGAAAATATACGGGAAGGTTTAGAACTGTAAACATTTAAATTTATGCATATTCAGAAACATTTCATGTTGCATCGTGTATAAACTTACATAGGTTATCGTTGGATACTGACCGATATTTTAAGTTTCTCTGAATCACTACTGACTCTTCGGGTTTACGTGCCACCCTTTGAGTTAATATAGATACAGTTGGAACGCTTTGATACGTGTGACATCAGACGTGCCAGTGACATCTATCCACCATCAATCTGAAAAGACTGGTGTGATGGTTTTGAAAAAGGCACCTGTATCTTCTGAGATCAAACAGAACTTCAATAAACACTTTTTAAGCTATAAATATGCAGGAATTACACTTCTAGAGGTTCACAAAATGACTTGTGGGACTTTAACAGCGATGTGTAGTTCGTTATTCAATGTTTTTTCCCTCCTTTCCATGCTAGATCCTCGTATTTGCCAATAAACAGCTATCTCCAAAATTAATATAACACCTGAATATCTCTGGTAGGGCTGTAACAAGAACTGCTAGTTAAGCAAAGTTGCATGGGCAGGGAATATGGTCTAGAAAAACTTACTGACCTTAGAGCCAAACAAGAAGTAGAAGTTCGCTTGTGGGACTCAATCAGATGAAGTAATTTAATTTAAATAATATGTGTATTTTTTTAAGTGTGGCTTTAGTTTCTGTTCTGCCCACATTCTTTGCTCAATGCTGAAAAATTGTCCAATAAATCAGATCATAATTGTATCTAGCAACTTTTCTTTAATAGTGGTTTACTAGTGGGGGACTTCCCAAGACTGTGAAGTTGTATTTCTTCAGCTCAGATTTTCAAGCTAGTGAGGCCTCACTTCTCTCTTAAAAAGAAATCCTTTTTAATTTTGATTTTATTTTTTTTTTAATATAAAAGAATGGATTTTCCTTTGTGTCTGAAAGCAGAGGTCAGATGACAGCCCTGTTTCAGAGCTGTTCCTACGAGCAGGTGGAGACAAGTCGGCGAAGTGGCCGGAGCAGCTCCACAGCGATGCGAGAGGCTGCCTTGGCGGCCTCCCAAGGGTGGCTGCATAAAGAGCCTGGAACAGAGGCTGACTGCATTGATGGAAAAGTTTTCAGTTCACATGGCCAGAATCATGCCTGTGGATTAACTAGGCCGGCTGTTAAAGAATGTTGTTGTATTGTGTCCCCCCCAAGAATCCGTTATCTTATGGTGAAGACATACAGTACCTTCCTCGGATGGATGGAAGGCAGGTTACTGTAGGCTGGGGGTCCTCACCTTACAGATCTGCCTTTGTCATTTCAAAATCATGTTAAATGACACCACTGCATTGGTGCCTTCATTTCCTCGGCTGCTTTTTTTGCACAAATTTGCAACCTCAACAAGTTGTGCTTAAAAGCCACACGTATTGGTTTGATGAGTTTCTTAGAAGCGCTTGTGGGCAGCAAATGAAATTCAGAGAACTGTATTTCACTACGGCATTTGAGAGGCAGATATTTTCTTAAGATTTCCTGTTAGATTGTGATTTTTGTTTGTGCTTGTTCCCGGAGAGAACAGTGTGTTAGCGGAGGTGTTTGAGTCCAGAAGTTTTGAAAATTGCCATCACGTGTTGTCTTCTGACTTGGAGACCTCTGCGTTGTAGCAAGTAAGATCACAGAATATATAATTGAAATTAAAAGACAGCAAATCAGTTCCATGTGTCCAAGATACTCCCTTTGGAACTTTTTCACTTAAAACACAAGTTACAACATTAGTGCGGAAAGCGGTGAAAGAAAATCACCTTGCTGCCCCGCTTCCAAAGTGCCACTAATATAAACAGACATATAATAGTGCCTCTGGCCCAGTCTTTTTTCCTATTGACTAAAAACATATTAAATATAGAATATCTAAGCTACTGAGATTTTTCTTTGCTCTTTGTCGTATTAATTTGATAATCTTGGTCTTGAATGGTTAGGATATTCAAATAGGGGTGTAGGCGAATGCCATAATTGTGTTATTTTCAGAGTGTGATTTATGGTAAGATGGGATTTTTTTGATGTTAATGTGAGTAAGATTATTAAAATTACACTAGCAAAACCATCATGCCTTATTGAAGTCGGTGTGATATGTTTTATAGAAAACACAGCTGCTGATTTTTGAGGAAAATATGGATTGTTTGGAAGTGGAAGTTAGTTGGAATTTGATTCCTATCGCCTTCCTCTCCTTATTCCTCCTCATGTTGGTATCAGATAAGATCCGAGGAAAGACTAAACAAAGTAACTTTGAAAATTAAGGACTCTTCCTGCTGATAAAAACAGAAGTGTTGGAGAAGCGTTACGTGGTAGGACAGGCTGTAAACAGGATTCTTTTCAAGAGCTTGTAATTGCTATTTATTATCTGCAAGAAATGAGTCCCGGAGTGAGCTTTCTGTTGGGTTGATTTCCTTTCATGTGTTTCCAAAAACCTGGGTTTGCATGCTCTATTTATTTATTGTATTTCGTTTTATTTGGCAATCGTATGATCTTTACTTTTAGCCGATTAAAATAATTCTCACAACCATTTTGAAGTTGTGCTGCCGTTGCAAGGAGGCAAAAGAATCAAGTAGTTTGAGGTCTTAGTTTTGGCCACGTGTTGTGATCTGTAAATTGATTATTTGAAAGCTTGATTCCCAGAATAATAATGGCAAAACCTGTATTTCAGCTCCAGTTGGTTTTGATAAGCTCTTAGAAATATTAAGGCAAGATGGCAACTGGAAAATGTTATGTGAGGACTACCAGATGTTTGTGTTACTGGAAAGTTGATATAAATAAAAGGCTCCAGAGGGGATTATAGTCTTGGTGGTTTGCGAGAGGTCAGGTCTGCAATCCCATTGAGTGCTTCAGCCGTGCTCGGTGCCGGCTCTCAGTGCAGTGGCTTGAAAAATTCAGTCCTGTTTAATTTTTGGTTTCTGCTTCTTCCCTGATTAGACATCACACTGCTTAGGTGTTTTCTTCCAGTTATTTTCAACTCCCGGGATTCCGTTGGGATTTTAGAGGTGTAAGGTATTTCTAACAGGGTGTTGCTCTGGAGAGAGATGAACAGTCTATGGAGGGGAGCAACCCCCTGCTGCATCCAGAGGCTTCCCTAGCATGTTGGGAAGTTTTTCTGGGAGCCATTTTCATGGCCTTACCTTTTCATTTGGAAGATGACTTACAGGCTACAAAAGTGCAAATGTTTCACTTTTAAAAAATAAAATTGCTAAAATGGCAACTGAGTTACTTGACGAGTGGCAGGTAACAATTTACCCTACAAATATAAACCGAAGCTGTGAAATACTTTTTTACGACTTGCCTGTGAGGGAGAGTCTAAAAGAAAAGAGTTCACAGGTAATAACAAACCCCTCTTTTCAAAAATAAGACTAGGTTTCTTACTGAGGACGGAAGTCTGCTCTGGCTGGTTCTTTCTGTAAGACTGAAGCTGGTGTGTTGGAATAACATTTTTCCTTGTGAGAGAAATGAACAGGAATGGAATGGCAGGAGGGAAGAGAAAAGAGGTGAAAAGGAGAATTTGGAGGAAAAAAAAAAAGAGTAGAGATTTATTTATTTTTAACATGCTTATCATCTGAATTAAATTATGAGGAAGATTAACTTCTGAGGAAAAACAGTTTTGAAGATTTAAGCTTTAAGCGTCTCAGGACTTACCTCAAGAAGATTAAAGGTGGAAGTAGAAAGAGTTAAAGAAGAGGCAAATATCTGGTGAAAATAGGAGTGGTGACACATGCAACAGTAACTCAAAAAGAGTTTTGTTTGCTTTTAAGAATTTGATTATTCTTTATATTTACTGGTATGCATGTAATTTGAATATACTTTCAGTAATGTATAGTTAGGGTTGGATGCGATTAAAGGGGATACAGTTTTCTGCATCTGTTTAAACACCGCTGTGAAGCGGTCTTAGAATGTCAAAAATACAGCTTAATGACTAAAGAGCAGAAGTTTTCAGTGGAGCACTTGTTTATAAAAGCAGAAGGTTATTTGGAGAACTCTCGGCTGCTTCTTACCACCAACTTCCTCTCTCTTTCCTTAGTTTGGTTTTAGCTGTTTGCTCTTTTATGGGCTGATATTTGGGGAGGAGGAGGAAGGGAGATTGTCTATAGCTAAAGAATGATGGTGTTTCTTTTTTTACAAAATAAAAGTAAAGCTTGTAATTCTTCTTATAATGCTGATGTCTTACTGATAATTGTCCCATGCCTTAATAGTTTCTCACAAATTCTGATTTTGGTAGGTGACCAAGCCTCTGTTTTTTCTTTCTGCCCTATTTTATAATTGGAGAATCGGTTTAAGGGAGAAAATGAAAAACATTCCAAGAATGGAAAAGAAACCCTTAGTTTTGGAGTATTTCTCGAAGTGGAATTTTACTTCCTGAATTCTAGTGAGCTGCCAATATCCAGTGAGTTCTG